CTTTTCAAGCTATTTAACACAAACGAGATATAAATTGTGATAAAGTCATGTAGTTGTCTCACTATTCCAAAAAAAGAGCAAGGCTATATCAATGTAGAAAGATAACAGAATATCATGCAAGTATTTTCAGTTTTATGCTGAGAAAGTAAAGTGCTAAATGGGTGGATAAAGCCCCTTTCACAACTTAACGATTTAGACGAGTGTATGCCTGACAAACGGAAAATCTAGCAAAAACGCTTGCATACGTTGGATAAGTTATGGGTACGTTTTGTATAAGTTATGAGCATTCTGAAGTATGCTGAAGCACTCTGAAACACACTGGCACACGTCAACATACAGTAAGTACGTCGAGTAATTTTCAGCGTGCTTAAAATTTCCCAACCTATGCCAGCGTATGCCATACATGGGCCATAAGGTACAGGCAAGTCATTGGATCGTTGACATTAGTTAAGTGTAAGTTATTCATAAGCCGTGGTGTCTAGCTTATCCTAAACCTATGAGTAACATTTGCATAACTAATGCGTAACTTGTCAAGAACTTATCTCCAATGCATATCAACGTATTTAACTTGTTCCAGACACGTTTCTAACTTACAGCTACTGTTTAATGGCATTGCGGAGCAGCGATGCGCCTGAGTGGAGCAGCTCTAACTGATGCTTTGTATTGCGTAATTGCCTTGAAATGATGCTTTTGCTTTTCACAGTGTGCAGTGATGCAAACGAAGTTCTGTTTTTCTTCAGGGTTGACAAAGGTCTCAGTTTGTTCACTATGCTCCATTTTTTTTCACGGAAACTTATATTTCAAATGATATTCTTTCAGGATGGCATCTGGATGTGGAGTGACGGTTCTAAGTTTGTCTCTGCTCCCTGGGCTAAAAACGAACCAAACAACTTTGGTGGAGATGAAGGGTGCATGGACATCAGTAAGTAATAATTACTTAAACTGTTGGAAAGGCATTTATATTTCTGTACAGTCTCCATATCCTGAATTTCATCTGCTGCTCATAATGTTCTGTTGCTAACCAAATTATTATACATCTTTATTTCAAAATACATAAAGGATCAAAAACAAAGGTAATTTTACAAAGATTAATATACCGGATTTGTTTTTTGTGTTTTTACAGAGAACGGTTATGTAAATGATCAAAGCTGCACCGATAAGCTTCCCTTCATCTGTGCCACAGTCCAATAACTGGTCTTCTTCTGATTTCCTGCTTGCAATGTTAATTTCAACTATATGTGAAGCCTTGGTTACACCACTGCTGGAAAACTGCATGAACAATTTGTTGTCCTTTAAGTTGATCACTTCAATAAACAATTATCTTTTTCTGCAATCTGATTGTTCAATTTAAACGCACAATGGGTAATCTTCAGGGATATCTAATGGTCAAACAGCAGCGACATGAATGGTCCGCTCGTCCTACCCACCACGTGGTTTGGGATGGCCTTTAATGTGGTGGACCCTCGGAGGGAATGTCCAAATAGAGGTTTAGTGTTTAGGGGCCAGTTTGGGATTCAGACTCAGTCTCTAGATCCTATCCTTGACTGGCCATTGTTTCTTCCTGTTCATCTCCCTGGCAGCTCCTCTGATGTCACTGCATGAAAAGTGGGATTTTCGTCAATATGCGGCACTGTAGATTGTCGTGGAAATTCAGGTTAGCGGCAGTTTACGGCAATTTGCAGGCTTCGGCGAAAACTCCCGTAAATTGTCAGAAATTGACGTGGACTCTCTTAGGCAGTGTTCCCCCCATGCCTCCCCCCCATGGAATTCTAGGGGAGGCTTTAACATGTAAATGAACATGCTGTGAGCTATACAAATGCAAATCAGGGTTGCAGGGGGAGTTTTACCCCCCCGTGTCATTTTTCTAAAAGGTAAGAAAATCTCTGATACAAAGAGATCAGGCTCAGTATAGCCTCTTACATTTTAGCTTGAATTGATTTATTTAATTAAAGTATAGAGACCAAAACAGATCTTTAGCTGACAGAGCAATACATTTAGAGCAGTAATTATTTTAAAAAAAAATTGCATTTAAGATAAAAAATAAAATGTTGTCTGTCAATATGCTCAATTCACAATTACTTAAGTTTCAAGAAATGAGTCTGAGATGATTCACTTTATAACATGGCGCATTATCCTGCTGGAAGTAGCCATCAGAAGATTGGTACTCTGTGGTCATAAGGACATAAGGTCAGCAACAATGCCGAGGTAGGCTGCCTCATTTATTTGATGCTAAATTGGTATTAAGTGGCCCAAAGTGTGGCAATAAATATCCCCCAAATAGATGGTACAAATAGATCAGGCTCAGTATGGCCTAATTATAGACTCTTACATTTTAGCTTGAATTGATTTATTTAATTAAAGTACGCTAGATTACTGTGTATGCCATTAGCAATGGCAAATGTTATGTAAAAAAATACACAAAATAATTTATTTCAAAAATTAGTTTTAATCAGAATCAGTTGGTAAAATGTGAATCAGAATCAGCAAGGTAAAATGTGCATTCCTTGCACAGTGCTCCTTGGGATTTTTAAAGCTTGGGAAATCTTTTTGTTTCCAAATCCAGCTTTAAACTTCTCCACAACAGTGTCTCGGACCTGTCTGATGTGTTCCTTGTTCTTCATGATGCTCTCTGAACCTTAAACAGACCTCTGAGGCGATCACAGAGCAGGTGCATTTATCGGGAGACTTGATTACACACAGGTGGATTCTATTTAGTATCATTTAGGTCGACATTGGATCATTCAGAGATCCTCACTGAACTTCTGGGGAGAGTTTGCTGCACTGAAAGTAAAAGGGGCCGATTCATTTTGCACACCCCATTCTTCAGTTTTTTATTTGTTAAAAAAATTAAAAATATCCAATATATTTAATTACACTTCATGATTGGGTAAAACTAGTTGTTGATTCTGCACTAAAAAATGTTTATGTTCGATGCCTGAAATGTGGCAAGAGTTTGAGATTTTCAAGAGAGCAGATTATTTTTGCAGGGCAAACTGTAACTGGGCTGATATCTAAGTAGAGCTCTGACAGGGTTTCACTTGCCAATAACGTACATTTATAACATAAGTTTTAGTGGTTGTAGAAGTAATAGAAAACACAGATCTGGGAACTGAAATTCTAGCAGCACTCCTCATTATTCTCTACATTTTCTCTCCGTTGTCCTTTCTTTCACCGTAAATGGTATCGGCATCTCAGATATGTTAGATTTGTTTACCAAGCTTTCCTGTCTGACCCTTCAAAACAATCTACCATCAACAGCATTGTGTTGTAGAAGGTTTTATGCAAGAGCCTTTTTTTGGGAGTTTTTACAGCACGTTTTGGAGTTTTTACGGCACTAGTGTCTCGTTTTTTTGGCAGTAGGCTGGCAGGAAAGGGGGTATGAGAGAGGGAGACACATGCGGCCAAGGATGCGAACCCGGGTCATCCAGGTCGAGGACTAAGGAATCTTTCTGTACATGGGTTTTGTGCACTAAACACTGGGCAACCAAAGCACGCCCTTATGCAACAAACTTTTAAAAAAATTTCCCAACATTTATGGAGAACAGCAAAGTTGCTCTTTTATAGTTTTTATTATTGTTGGGAGCTGGAGACATTCCACCTTTCTCCAGCAGAGTCCGCCGTGGATCCTCCTGAGTGAGCCTTCTGCACAGCTGCAGCCCATCAGATCATCAGAGGATCCACTACATAAGCTGTCTTCAGACCTTGCCTCAACGCCGCAGTGTTGATCCAGTTGGTCAGCGCCTAAGCCTAGACTCTCAGTGAATCTTTGTGACTTTGAATCCAGCCTGGATTCTAACCCTTGTCTCTGTCTTCCAGGAAACCAGTTTCTCCTCTGTGGAGCTCAGGAAGAGCTAACCTGCCGAGCCGACCCTCAGAGCCAAACCTGAAGAACCTCAGTGAAATTTTCATGCAGCTCAGGACTAAGAGCTGGAAAACCCAAAACCAAGGTCTGCTCAGTTCTAGAAGTAAGACGCTGAAGCAGCTAGCGGACTCTGCTGATCAACTCCTCTCCAGATCCAACAGTGACCCTCTCAAAGTTATCTACAAGAACCCTCAAGGTACAATCAGTAACAATCAAGAACGCAAGCTCCAAAGTGCAACGCTAACTGAACTGTCTCTCACGCAGACTCCGGTGAACCAGTTTCCAGGCCCGAACGTGAACCAGTCAAATCAGTGTGCTTGTGAACAAATAAACTTGTTAACTTTTACTCCTGTGTCCGTCTAGTGGTGTTCTGCATATTTGGGTCACTCTTAGTGTACCCATCATGACAGAACACTGCGGCCAAACTCAAGGCCCAGCAGATCACCTCACCCGTCGCCTGGAGGAGCAGTATGCCCAAATTCAAGGACAAACCCAAACGCTCCGTGAGTTATATCGCTTGGTTGATACTCATAATCATATGCTTCAGAGCTATGCTAACTACTTGAACAGCGCTAATGCTGCACCGGCACCTCAATCATTTCCGGGTCCAGTTCCTCCTCCGAGGTAGTGTTAATTTCGTTAACGAAAACTAAACGAAAATATTTTCGTCAACGCACATTGACGCACATTTTTCACCGGACGAAAACTAGACGAGACGAGACGAAAATCCCCCCTACTTAACAATAACTGGGAGTAAATAAGAAGTAATTTTCGTTGACTTATAAAGACGAGACGAAAATGCAGTTCGGTAAATAAAGACTGGACTAAAATCTATGAACATTTTAGTCTACGAACAAAGACGAGACGAAAATTACATATTATTTTATGGTTTTGTCAAATCCTTTCTCCTCCTCCGCCTCCTCCTTGTCACTCAGCTCTTCCGCCACACACACCCACTTTCAAACCTGGAGCGGGGCGGGCTCAGAGTAGCCTGCACATTACATGGAGCAAAGAGAAGCTTGATTCACGGCGAGGCGGCGACAGGTTAAACGCGAAACATGCTTTGTACGGGGCTTGGGAGAAAGCGGAGACTTGATGTTTGGACACATTTTCGCTTCATTCAAGGAGAGAAAAAAAACGAAATGCTTGATATTAGTCGAAGGGAAGGAATGTGGCCAAATGATTGCAGGGAAAAACACAACAAACCTGAAGCGACACATCGCAGTTCAACACAAAGACATTACGGTAAGTTAACAGAAAGATCGGTGGTGATTGTTTATAATATAACATTAAATCAACGGTTATAATGTCCCAATGATAAACTAACTGATGCTGGCTAACTTTCACAGCATTTAGTATCCAGGCTGGCTAGTGGCTACGTTATGTTAGCTTGTTAGCACTTAGCGACCGTAGCCACTTGTTGAAAGAATTGTATGTGAAGTTAAATTTATGCTAACTTAGATATGTTATACTGGCCGGGCAACTATAGTTTCAGTTAAATTGCAAGTTTGATTAAAGCAGACAGACGTTTTAGAAATCTAGGAGCTGCAAGTGAACTATAGTTAACACAAAACACCTCGGCAGCTACACATCTATGCTAAATGCTAAAACGAACTAAAACAATGCTTCTCTTTTTATCTGCACATTACTATTATAAGTACATTTGATTTGAATTGGCTTCAATATCAATACAACCAAAATGCATACACACATAAAAATGTCTGCAATTTATTCCTGCATAAAATTATAGATTGTATGAGTTTGAAATGGATTGTCAAATGCAGTGTTTACAGAGACTTAGTTTTTGTTAAGGAAAAAAAACAGACCTATATACTACTTATACACTTGGAATTCCTGTTATGCTGTTTATCTATCCTGACATTGTATTAATTTCTGTTCCAGATTGAAGATACACCACCACCAACAACCACCCAGCCATCCAGAAACAATGACAGGCCAGCTATACAAGCTTCCTTACTTTCCCACACAAAGTACAAAGCTGACTCTCAGGACCAACATTTAAAAGAGGAAGCCATAGCTCTGTGGATAGGCCGAACAGGCCTCCCTTCACGGACTGTGGAAAGTGAGGATTTTGTCAAGATGATGGATCAGATTGATAAAAGGCTCACTGTTCCAAAAAAAGCTAAAATTGAAAACATTGTGGACAAAATATACCTGTCAGAAAAGGACAAATTCAAACAAATACTGTCTGTGGCACGCAGAATAAGCATTGGTTTAGATATTTGGACCAAAAAGGGTCTCACAGCTTCCTACCTTGCAATTAGCGCTTGTTATTTTAACTCAGACGACAATAAGGCAGAACACATACTCCTCAGCCTAAAGCAAATGGCTCACCCACACACTGCTCATGCTATCGCGACTCTTGTGGAGGAGTGCACAACAGAATGGGGAATCCCAAAAGAAAAGGTCCTCACTATCATCACAGATAATGGGAGCAACATGGTTGCTGCTTTTCTTCGCAACAATGAGAAGGACAACGAATCCAGCTTTGAGGACAGTCCCCAGGATAGTGATGAAGAGGCAGAGGACCTTGATGTTGATGAAAGCATTGAAAGGTCGGTATGTGTGCATGATGTTTGCAGGGATTAGTACAACTTATCTCATTTTATGGAAGCCTGATATACAATGTGATAAAATAAAAAGTATTTGGCCATCGTGTGTTAGTATAATACTGTTGCTGCAGTAGATAGATAAGATTTCACTGTTTTGTATTCTGAAATGTCATCTGTAATCAGACATTTTAGTATTGTGTATGAGCGATAAGTATGTGCTAATGCTGTGTTCCACTTTCCTTTCATTAGGTATGGAACATGGAAGAGGACACCCTGTGTGGTCCATACCCTTCAGCTTGTCGTCAACATGATCCAGAAGGAGCCTGCAATAAAGAAACTGCTGGACAAACTCAGGCACCTGGTGAGGCTATTCCGCAAGTCATCTGTTGCCATAGAGCGGTTACTGGGAAAGTGTGGACTCACCCTCACCAGTGACTGTCCAACCAGATGGTCCAGTACCTATTCAATGCTGTCTCGTGCTCTTGAAGTGAAGGACCATGTTGCATCGGTAGCTGAGAGCATGAACTGGGACAGCCTGCAACCCAGTGAGTGGCAAAAGCTGGCAATCCTGAAAGACTTGCTGCTTCCATTTGCAGAACACACAAAGGTACTTGAAAGCGACACCAATTCCCTATCCTTCGTTGTGCCTGCATTGTTGGACTTGAGAGGTCACCTCTCCGAGTTCTCCCGATGCCAGAGCTACAAGGATGCAGCTACACTAGCACAGAAGATGAATGCAAATATGGAGCTACGCTTTGGCCTTTTCCTTGATGTCACAGATAACAGGTTCTCTCCTCTTGCTGCAGCTGCATGTTTAGTTGACCCCAGGGTGTCAGCAGATGTCCTCGTTCAGAATGAGAACGAGGAAATTCAGGATCTTCTGAAAAAAGCTGAAGACTACATCATTCACAGTGTGACGCCAAGAATCCGTGAGGAGGAGACTGATAGAGAGGAAAATGGGCAGACAGAGACCACAGAGACAGCCCCTTTGACAAAGCGGCCTAGATTTAGATTTTTCAGTCCCAGTCATCCAGCAAGGCCCAGGACCCCCAGGGCCTCTATCAGGCAGGAGATTCAGAAATACAAAGACATGTTGTCCGAAGCTGCTGACGCTCAGGAAGGGATGGAGTTTTGGTCTTCTCAGAATGACACTGTGTTTGAGCTTCTGAAACCTTTGGCCTTGGACCTTCTGGCAATGCCAGCGTCACGAGCCTTTGCTGAGCGCGTCTTCAGTGTAACTGGTGACCTCTCAACTGGCCGTCGCAACAGAGCAAGAACCACATTGGAAAGAAGTGCTTTTCTCAAGCTAAATAAGGTCTAAATATACCGTGTGTGATGGCAATCAGGAACGGTTGTATAATTAGTATTCTATAATTTTTCAGGTTCCTTCAACAACACCAAACACTGTTTACAAGAGCAGCTTTAGAGAGCAGTGTTAGAGCAGCATTATACTAATGTGAGCAACTTCTGCATGTTGTAACTACATGTGAAGAGACAATGTGAGACAGACAAACCGAGAGACAGACTAACAGACAGACAGACTAACAGACAGACAGACTAACAGACAGACAGACTAACAGACAGACTAACAGACAGACAGACTAACAGACAGACTAACAGACAGACAGACTAACAGACAGACAGACAGACTAACAGACAGACAGACAGACAGACAGACAAACAGACAGACAGACAGAGAAACAGACTAACATAGAAAGACAGACAAACACAGAGTGAGTTTTGGGCTCTGGCACCAATTTTAGTTGGGTACTTGAATTCATTTTAATGTTAGAATTGGATTGAACACAGGTCTTGCCTTTTGTTGGCATGACTGTTGGATTTTTGTAGTTTAAATGTTAAAACATGTACAACTGTAATTAAAAATTAATCCTGTTCAGTTTATTTGCAAGTTAAAAAGATTTCATACGTTGTAGCAAGCTATGCCTTGTTTCACCTTAAATATTGTACCTTTTTATACAATGTGAACTAGCTGGCAGGAAAGCACTTTTGTGGTATCAGTTGGAGTTTTTTTTTTTTTTTTTATAACATTGACCTCAAATCTATTTATTTTATTATTCTATTAGAACTAGCTTTAAACAGCCAGCACTTCTGTTAAGTTCATAAGACACTTTATTTTATTTATTCATTTCCTTTGTCAGGTGTATTTTATTTTATTTTTTACTGCAAGCATTTGTGTTTGTGTCTTTGAACCTTAATGTTAAAAATAAATATGCAAATATTGTCAGAACATCTTCCATGTCTGCATGTGTTCCTTAAAATTGTGTTTTTTATCAAAAAGATGAGAAAATGTTGAAATGTGAAATAACTTTAGGAAATGTTAAATATTATCTGCTGACAAAAAAGTAAAAGGTTAAAATTATGTCCTGACTAAAACTAGACTAAAATGTTGACCGTTTTTGTTGACTAAAACTAAACGAATAAAATTATGTTTTGTTGGACTAAAATAAAGACTAAAATGCTCGACTTTTAGTCGACTAAAACTAGACTAAATAAAAATGGGATGATGTCGACTAAATATGATAAAAACTAACAAGCGATGCTAAAACTGGACTAAGACTAAAACTAAATTTAAAAATGGCTGCTAAAATTAACACTACTCCGAGGTCACCAGCAGTGACGTCATCCGAGTTCCGCCCAAGTCTACCAGAGAGATTTTCTGGTAACATGAAAGATTGCAAAGGATTTTTATTTCAATGTCGTTTGATTTTTCAGAACTCTCCAGGCAGTTTTTCCACGGATTATAAAAAGATAACCTTCATCCTTTCTCAGCTAACAGGAAGAGCCTTGGAGTGGGCTCAGGCAAGATTTGCCTCCGACGATAGCCTCAATTGCTATTACTCTGACTTCATCTCCGAATTTACCCAAGTATTCAATCAAGAAACTGATCAAACTATTGACTCTCGAGCTCTTTTCAATTTAAAGCAGGGAAATTCTTCTGTGGCAGAATTCTCCATCAACTTCCGGGTTAAAGCGGCAGCTTCCGGATGGAACCAAAGCGCTCTGAAGGGAGCCTATTTTATGGCATTAAATGAGCACATTAAGGATGAGCTCGCAACTCTCGATGAACCTGCTACCCTCGAAGAATTAATTCGTTTGACGATCAGATTGGATAATAGAATCCGTGCCAGAAACAGTTCTAAATCAAGAAATCAGGGGACACTTTCCTCTGCCTCACATAACGTGACTGGTTGTTCTTCCCCCACAGAGCAGCTGCCCATACAGAGACCTAAGGCCCAGTCTCTCCCTCTGCCTATTCAGGCCTCTCATTCTGGTGAAAGAGATGTCGAACCCATGCAGGTGGGACACACCAGGCTCACCCCTGAGGAAAGACAAAGACGTTTTCTGAGTAAATTATGCATTTACTGTGGTGAGAGTGGACACTTCATCGCTTCCTGCCCGGCTAAATCAAAAGCCCGGGCCCGCCAGAGGATCTGAGGAGTCTGGCGTGCCAAATTAACACTAAGAAATCTCCTCGACTGTTGCTTCCTGCCACGTTGTTTTGTGCTAACCAAAGCCTCTCCTTTTCTGCATTCATCGATTCAGGCTGTGAACGGAATTTAATCGATTCGAACCTCGTCCAACAACTTCAAATAGAAACCATTCCTCTGACTCAATCTCTTAGTGTTTCTGCCATTGACGGGAAAAGACTCCACCAAGTCACCCATCAAACTCAACCCCTCGAGTTACTTCTTTCAGGTAACCACCGAGAGACAATAACATTTTTTGTTTTTCCTTCTGCATGCTCTCCCCTGGTGCTTGGTTTCGAATGGTTCAAGAAGCATAATCCACACATAAATTGGACTGATCGTCACCTGGAATCATGGTCTACTGCATGCCATGAAACATGCCTCCGTTCGGCTGCCCCCTTGGTGGGGTCTCCTAGAGGTGGGGGGGAGATGGACTCTCCTGACCTTTCTTCCGTTCCTTCCGAGTACCATGACCTGGCTCCTGTCTTCAGTAAGGTCAGTGCTACGTCCCTACCTCCACACAGACCATATGACTGCGCCATTGAGCTATTACCTGGAGCACCACTACCTAGCAGCAGATTGTACATTTCCAAACCTGAACGAGAGACCATGGAGTAGTACATAAATGAATCCTTAGCTGCTGGAATAATCCGCCCATCTTCCTCTCCATTGGGCGCCGGGTTCTTCTTTGTTGGTAAGAAGGACGGTTCCCTGAGACCATGTATTGATTACAGAGGTTTGAACCAAATTACAATAAAGAATAAGTACCCACTTCCTCTACTCGCCTCAGCATTCGAACCTGTACAAGGGGCTACAGTTTTCACAAAACTGGACTTAAGGAATGCATATCATCTTCTTAGGATCCGAGATGGAGATGAATGGAAAACAGCCTTCAAAACCCCCTTGGGTCAATTCGAATATTTGGTGATGCCTTTTGGTTTAACTAACGCTCCAGCCTGTTTCCAAGCCCTCGTGAACGATGTCCTCAGAGACTTTCTAAATGTGTTTGTGTTCGTCTATATTGATGACATACTCATTTACTCAAGGAACCTTTCTGAACATAAAAGACATGTCCGCCTTGTGTTACAGAGACTACTGGAGAACAAGCTGTTCGTTAAAGCAGAGAAGTGCGAATTTCATAAGTCTTCAGTCACCTTTTTGGGGTTTGTGCTCGAGGGCGGTCAGGTAAAACCATCTGAGGACAAGATAAAAGCCGTGTTAGAATGGCCAGTTCCAGAGAACCGCAAACAGCTACAGAGATTCCTGGGCTTTGCAAACCTTTATCGTCGGTTCATCAGGAACTATAGCCAGACAGCCCTTCCCTTAACTTCTCTGACCTCTGTCAAACGCACTTTTCAGTGGACTCCCGAGGCACAATCTGCATTTGAGAAATTGAAATCTTTATTTTCCAGAGCACCAGTGTTAATGCAGCTTGACCCTGCTAAACAGTTTATCCTCGAAGTGGACGCTTCAGATTCTGGTGTTGGAGCGGTCCTATCCCAGAGACTTGACACGGATCAAAAGATCCATCCATGCACCTTTTTCTCTTGTAGACTTTCATCCGCAGAGCAGAACTACGATGTGGGAGACCGTGAGCTGTTGGCCATCAAATTGGCGCTGGAGGAATGGAGACATTGGCTGGAAGGAGCTGAGCACCCGGTTCTTGTATGGACTGATCATAAGAACCTGGCTTACATCCAGTCAACCAAGCAAGCTAATCCCCGTCAATCCAGGTGGTCCATCTTCTTCTCACGGTTTAATCTCATTATTTCCTACAGACCCGGATCCAAGAATGTCAAACCCGATTCTCTCTCTCGTCTTTACTCCGCCGATCATCCTGAGACACCTGAACCAGTCCTTCCTGCTTCCTGCACTGTAGGAGTGGTTAACTGGGAGATCACTGATCTAATCAACTCAGCCCTGACTTCAGAACCCGATCCAGGTAACGGTCCAGCTAACCGAACCTATGTCCCATCTTCTGTCAGGTCCCGTCTCTTCCAATGGATGCATGCAGCCAAGTTCTCCGCCCATCCGGGGGTCAGTAGAACCGTCGCTTTGATCTCAAGACACTTCTGGTGGCCGACCCTCCATAGAGATGTTAAGGAGTATGTGTTGGCTTGCTCCACTTGTGCCCGAAATAAAGCCTCACATCAACCTCCTTCTGGCCTGCTACAGCCACTTCCGGTTCCCTCGCGTCCATGGTCCCATATAGCGATTGACTTCGTCACCGGCCTCCCCGTTTCTCGAGGTATGTCCACAATCCTCACCATTGTTGACCGTTTTTCGAAGTCCTGCCATCTCATCCCTCTTAGGAAACTTCCCACGGCCTTCCAGACAGCCCAGCTCTTAGTTAAACACGTCTTCCGCTTACATGGCATCCCCCAGGAGATCCTCTCGGATCGGGGTCCCCAGTTCATATCCCAGGTTTGGAAAGCATTCTGTTCTGCACTCGGCTGTAAACCCTCTCTGACATCAGGTTACCATCCTCAATCCAACGGACAAACAGAGAGGATGAACCAGCAGCTAGAATCAACCCTTCGTTGCCTCACCTCCAACAATCCCGTCGACTGGAGCCAATATCTTACATGGATCGAATATGCACACAACTCCCTCAAATCTGCTTCCACTGGACAATCTCCCTTTCAGGTTAGTCTCGGTTATCAATCTCCACTTTTTCCCGCAGACGAGAGAGAGATTTCGGTCCAGTCAGTCAATCACCACATCCGACGCTGTCAGAAGATTTGGAGAGATACCATCGCAACCCTCAACCGTTCTTCTGAGACCAACAAACGCTTCGCTGACTCCAGGAGACGTCCCGCCCCCGAGTACTCTGAAGGCCAAGAGGTATGGCTGTCCACTCAAGACATTCCCCTCAAGGGAATGTCTCGAAAACTTTCGCCCAAGTTTATTGGTCCTTACAAGATTTCCCGAGTCATCAATCCATCTGCCGTCCGTCTCCAACTGCCTCAGTCTCTCCGGATTCACCCAACCTTCCATGTCTCCTGAGTAAAACCTGTCGTCTCGAGTTCTCTGTG